AAACAAGTGAAGGAGGAAAACTTCTGCCATCTCCCCACAACTCAAAATCTATTAGCGGAAAAAAACATTGGTTGCATTCCCAAACAAAACATGTGTGGATTCACTGGAAAAATTGCAAAAGGAGTTCCAATTTAGATTTAAAGAGCTTCATCTCCATGAACAGGACATACAGCTTTTCCGTAACCCATTTTCCATTGACATTGAAAATGTGGATACAATTTACCAAATGGAACTGGCTGAACTGCAGAATTGTGAAAGACGCATTCAAGTCAAGCAGCCTTCATAATTTCTATGCATCTCTCCCCTCTGAGACATATCCTCATCTCAGGAACCATGCACTCAAAATGGCAACCATCTTTGGCAGCACTTATATCTGTGAACAGACTTTTTCCAGAATGAAACATTTGAAATCTCCAACCAGATCTAGACTAACGGATGCACACTTGCATCACTTGTTACGACTAGCAGTGACAAATATGGAACTGGACATTGACCATCTCATTAGCCAAAAGCAGGCCCATAGTTCCCATTGAAATACAGTACTGGCAAGTTTGTTGATTTAACTTTACTTGTTCTTCATTTTAAATATTGTATTTTTCCCGTTTTGTTTCTTCACTTCAAAATAAGATATATGCAGTGTGCATAGGAATTAGTTCATAGTTTTTTTTTAACTATAGTCCGGCCCTCCAACGGTCTGAGGGACAGTGAACTGGCCCCCTGTTTAAAAAGTTTGAGGACCCCTGGTTTAGAGCATTTAAGGGAGTTAAGCTTGGAGAAGAAGAGATCAGAGCGGCTGGTTTATGAGAGCTCTACATCTAATAATAGATGTCACATTGGAAATAGACACACGACCGATTGTTCCAAGTGTGGAATCGTTTTACCCATTTGGGTTCAAGCGTACACTTGAAGTATTTTTTTACCGTTTATATATCGTACAACTAAGGCAACATTACATTTGGTGGCAGCAATTTTTATGAACCTACAAGTCATGCTATGAACTAGAAGAGGCACAGATACATCCATCAGAGACATGGAGGAGGAAAGGAGAGGATTGAGTGACGAGGAAGAAGCGATGTCTGCCCATTGACGCCAGCTCCCAAGGCCATCTCGGGTATCTCCAATATATGGCAGTGTCAAAATAGACCGGGAAAGAGTAAAAGGCATTGAGAGAGTTACCAATGTATTTGGGTGACGATTCATGAACATAAATCTTATTGATTGCAGAAGACAAGAGAAATACATTAACATCCGCATTGCATGAAATGAGCTTACACTACAGAACATCGACAACAGCATCGAAATAAATTCGAATTCTATGGAAAAAGGAGGGCAGATTATGAATCTATCTCTACGATTAGAAATAAATTAGCATGTTGAGCAAATATGGCATTCCCATGGCTGGATTTGCAATGAAATCGAGACCATAATTGTAAGTTTAGAAGAATATGCAAAATTCCATGCAATTAGTTTACCAATGGCTCCAGGACTGCCAAATTTACGATGGGTAGCAGATAGTATTGATCACATGATCCTTATGGCAATACCCCGGGGTACCAAATAATACAAAATGGCCGAGGCAACTAAATATTTTATTTCTGGGACACTATTTTTTCCAGGGGTGTACTTAACTCCATGACTCGGGTACCAATCAATCCGAAATCAGTGCTACTCCGCGATGTCGAAACGCAGCGAGGACGATTGCGCTGAGACCCTGAACGCTCGTCCGCACCGTAGTGGTGCATCGTGCACAGCTCGTCGACATGAGTCGATTGCTGCATCGCCGACGATCAACAGACTAAAAGTGACTGCATCACGGACATTATGCGAGAGCCGGGCTTCTATGGTACCCCGGAGTACCGCCATAAGGTTAATATATTAACGAAAGCGTCATAAATCCACAAAGTAGAGTTACCAGAAATGAAATATAGAAATAAGGAAAATGTAGTTATTGCAATAAGTGTGGAACAACTAATCTTGCGCACATTACAAATATAATTAGGGATTTAGCAACTCGTGGAAATAAATCAGCAACAACGACATACACTTCCACCGAAAATATTTTGAAATATCGCATAGAAAGTATGTTTTAATCTTGATATGTAGTTTTTATAGTGTGATTAAATGCCTCAGCAACTCAAAGTGCCTTACATCCCACATCATGTCAAACATTCCAAGGGCACCCCGCCAGTGGCAGCTATCCCTGTGCGACACAAGGTGACTCATCACTGGCCTGCAAGTGCACATTCGTCTGCCGGTGCGCGGCATGTGGAATCTAAATTAGCAAGCATCACCTGTAATCGCAATTGAGTAATTTGTGGGTAATGTTTCTAACTGTGGCAATTTTGACCGTGACTTCGGCACACAATGGCCGACTCTTCTAGAATGACATCAGGGGATCGTTAGCGTACAATAACACCGCAAAGCAGATGGTGCGTATCTTATGGTTAATACATCCGCAGTAATCACAATCTTGTTTTAGACTGGAGAAATCCGATTAGCTATGAAGATCTTTTTTCGCAGGTGTAGTGGCTTATATGACGACGGAGAAGGTTGATGGAGGCAACACGTATTTATTACAGATAACTCCAATTACAGCAGAGTAGCGACTATGACACTCGAAGAGGTAACGGCCTCCTCACCCATTCTATCGGGGGAAGTGTTCCCCAGCTAACGCCCCATGTTAACTCCCTACTTCCCCCTATTTCAGACCTCCCTCCCGAGGAGGCTAGCTAACCTGGCCCAACTTCGGCACAGGTTCCGACCACCAGTCACACGAGTCCGGCCCTTAGAAGGACATCGGCCCTCGGGGCTCTGGGGTCGCACCACTGGCTTGCTCTGCCCGGCCCTCAAAAGAGCAGCGGGTCAGAGGCGTTCCAGGGTCTAGCTAGCTGGCCTTCAGTCTTCACTGGTTATTCGTCTTGGCTTGGTCGAACTGCCCCTCTGCTCTCCGGGTCCCACCTTTTATACGATTTCCCACCGAGGGGCGGGTTTCTGTGGGATCACACAGGCCCCCCAGCCCCCTCCCCTCAGGAAGCCTGGCGAGAGATGACACGATCACCCGCACCAGTAAGTATTGTAAGACGGCCGGATTGGCGTGTGTGTGCACCAACACCACCACCACCACACAGGTAATAACCAGAGCGTCCTGCCGGAATCCAACCGTGAATCTCTGTAACAAGCAGTGAACGTGCAAACCACTGGACCGTCGACAATGTGAGAACCCATTGAGGCGGCATGACATCTGGTGCATGCTCAGGAAAAATACAGTTCACAGAATACAGGCAACAATCTTAGTTTTAATAGCAAGTTATAATTAAATAATGCTCGCCTGATATATTTAGAAAATATATCAGGTGTGCATTAACATTACCTAACATTGTACAGTATACGCTGTTAGGGTATTAAAACACTGGGCGTTGGTGGTGGCGCATGCCTGTAATCCCAGCACTGGAGGCAAGGGTTGTTGGGTCGTAAAAATGTTTGCAAAACTTCCGTCTCGTAGGCATTGAGGAGCCTTAACAGGCAACAGGCAGTCCTGCATGGCAGCGACCTGGTCCGTCTGCATGGGATAGAGTTTTCCCCCCTCGCACGCGTGGGTTTTCTCCGGGTGCTCTCGTTTTCTCCCACGTGAAACACTCAACAATTTACCCATAACACCTTCATCATATATAAAGAGAGAGAGGACTGCCTTCCTGATGTTCTTTCGCTCCTGCTCCTCGTGTCTCTAAGCTCTTCTCAATCCCGCCCGCTCACCCAAACCCCACCACCCACACAGCTCTCCTGAACCCCCTCCCTCCCCCGCTCTCCCTCCCCTCAACCCCCCCTCCCCGCTCTCCCTCCCCTCACCCCCCCCACACCCCCCCCCGCTCTCCCTCCCCTCAACCCCCCCACACCCCCCCCGCTCTCCCTCCCCTCAACCCCCCCACACCCCCCCCCGCTCTCCCTCCCCTCAACCCCCCTCCCACACCCCCAGCTCTCCCTCCCTCAATCCCCTCACTCTCCCCTCAACCCCCTCATCCTCCCAGCTCTCCCTCCCCTGAACCCTACCCTGAACCCTCCCGTCAACCCCCCCCCCGGCTCACCATCCCCTCAACCCCCCCGCTCTCCCTCCCCTCAACCCCCCTCCCACATCCCCAGCTCTCCCTCCCCTCAATCCCCTCACTCTCCCCTCAACCCCCCACCCCGCTCTCCCTCCCCTCATCCTCCCAGCTCTCCCTCCCCTGAACCCTACCCTGAACCCTCCCGTCAACCCCCCCCCCCGGCTCACCATCCCCTCAACCCCCCCGCTCTCCCTCCCCTCAACCCCCCTCCCACATCCCCAGCTCTCCCTCCCCTCAATCCCCTCACTCTCCCCTCAACCCCCCACCCCGCTCTCCCTCCCCTCATCCTCCCAGCTCTCCCTCCCCTGAAACCTCCCCTGAACCCTCCCGTCAACCCCCCCCCCCCGGCTCACCATCCCCTCAACCCCCCCACTCTCCCTCCCCTCAACCCCCCTCCCACACCCCCAGCTCTCCCTCCCCTCAATCCCCTCACTCTCCCCTCAACCCCCCACTCCGCTCTCCCTCCCCTCATCCTCCCAGCTCTCCCTCCCCTGAACCCTCCCCTGAACCCTCCCGTCAACCCCCCCCCCCGGCTCACCATCCCCTCAACCCCCCCGCTCTCCCTCCCCTCAACTCCCCCTCCCCCGCTGACCTTCCCCTAAACCCCCCGGCTCACCCTCCCCCCCGGCTCACCATCCCCTAAACCCCCCCCGCTCACCCTCCCCTCAACCCCTCCCCCCCTCCCCTCAACCCCTCCCCCCCTCCCCTCAACCCCTCCCCGTTCTACCCCCCCTCCCCTCAACTTCTCCCCCCCCTCCCCTCAACCCCTCCCTATTCTACCCCCCCCTTCAACCCCTCCAATCTCCGCCAACTTCCGCTCCCTTCCCCTCAATTCCCACGCACTTCCGTTGCTGTGTCTGGTGGTGGGGTGGGGGTGATGGGGGGGGGGGTCATCACGCGCATGCGCAAACCGCGCGTCGCCGCCGCCGCTAACAAAGGGACTCGCGTAAGGAGTTGGAGCTGCTCGCTTGGGCTCATAAGCTCGGCGGTCACCCCAGCAGAGCGGCGTTACTACAGCCTGGACATACACCCCGAGCCTTGCGCCACAGGGGTAAACCCCAGCCTCATCATAGCCACAGCGGCAAACCTTAGCATAGCGCTCGTAAGCGCTATTGGACGACAGCGCGCGGTGACCCTGCTAAGCCTGGCCTAGACGGTAAAACTGTTCGCGCAAAAAAAAAAAAACGATGGCCTAAATCTCTTCTAACCTTCAACGTAGCGGTAACCTTGACCTCAATCCCATCCCGACCCGCTATCGTGTGAAAAAGAGCTTAATAGCTCATCGGATTCCTCCCGTAGAAATACATATTTTGGTTCAATATAAGCCCCATCCCACAACCATAGGCTAAGCCATCGCCCCCACTATTAGACTTCATTCCGTTATAACCCGAATTCCACCCTAAACCGAACCTTATCCCTTAAGCCTTACCCGAGCCCTTTTACTTGGACTTCGGTGACCTTACTCTGCGAGAACCCTGACCCCCGGCGCGTTGCCTGTGTTTGTGCCACAGCTAAGACATGGACGAGGAGCAGGAGGTTCTGTGTAAACTCGAGAGCATCAAGGAGATCAGGCGAGTGGTGGTGGTGCATGTGTTGTGGTGTGTGGGTAGTGTGTATTGGTGTATATTTACGTGCATGTTTGTGGCTGCTGGTTTTGCGGACTGTATACATGTCATCTCGTGTGCTGGGTTGACATGCGTGTGTATATGTGTGTACGTGCTTTTCTGTGTGAGTGTGGTGATGTGTATATGTTTTTAATTTGGCAGTGTGTGTGTGGAGAGATCGCTTTTCGTGGAAAACATTAGTTCAATTCGTTTTTTTAACCAGGCCAGCACTGCCCAGGATGGTCTCATTTGCAAGAGCCACCTCGCGCATTAGTGTGCCAATAGGGGGCGATGTTTGCTACGTTTCGTAATTTTGCGGGTAATTTTGAGTACAGAATACCTTGCACTTCCGTCTGGTTAGGGACCAGAGCATGGGCGAATGTAAAAATGGACGAAGCAGAGCCTTTATTTGAATTGTTGACAGTCTAATCACGGAAATAAGTACAGTATTAATATATGAATAAACACAAATATAAGAGATGTTCACTGAACGACTTCTATTCAAAGACTGAACGAAAAAGATGGCACGTGGCGCGAACGTCGTGAAAGGTTTGGGATGAAATCGGACGAAAGAGCGAAGCGACGAAAGTCAAGTGGACGAAAGTCGAGGTATCGCTGTAATTGGGTAGTAACGATTTTCTTGGGGTGAGGTGCTGGTGTAGTTTTGATGGTGTAAATGGAGATGATGCAGAGGGGAGTTGGTGGTAATACAGCGTGTGAAGGCATGCCTCCTGGGGCAGATGGTGATGGTTTTAATGATGATCTTAGTGGTGTTGATGGCAGTGATGGGGGTGTTGAAAATGGGGGCAGGGGCAAGTTGATGCAGATTTAGAGACGTGAACGCGAACCTTTATGGTGAGGTGATAGTGTTGACGTTTGTATTGATGGCGGTGACGGCGGATCACATTGTTGGTGGTGGTGGTGGTGATGGGGCAGGGGGAAGCTGGTACAGATGGAGAGTGTGAAGGCGCGCCTGCGAGGCGAGTTCTCGGCACTGGAGGGAGAGGAACGGCGCCTGCGCGACTTTCGGCAGGAGCTGGAGCTGCTCCTCCAGGAGAAGATGGCACACGTGGAGGAACTCCGTTTAATTCACGCTGACATCAACCTGGTGCAGTTTGCTCACCCACACAACATCTGCTTGTCCATTTGCACACATGCTTAGCCATTTACACAATCTGCGTGTTCATTTTTACACAATGCATGCTCATCCGTTGACACGGTAGGCTCGCTTGTCAATAACATCATACACTATTTGCTTATTTACACAAACACCCGTGTACTCGTTTAAACAGAACCTGATTGCTCATTTTCAAATGACTCATTCACACAGGACTCGCTCCCTCATTCACACCAGACACAATCACTCGTTTACACAACATGCACCCATTCGTTCAGGGCTTACTCAACATGCTCACCCACAAAATATGTTCACTTGCACAAAGCACACAACAATCCTCTACTTGGTGTACTCACAACATTCATCCATACCAATATCACATTTATACCGTGAGATTGCTAACACAACACGCTCTCGTTCAACGTTTGCACAACATGCTCATACGTGGAATGCCACACTACTTAAGTACTTGCTCATAACACACATACACAATACTTGCTTGGCTTCCTTGTTTCGATAAATGTGTATTCACTCATGCAATGGCCCCCTTTTTAAATAACTTTGAACAATATTTACTTGGAAACAATTTGAAATTTCCACAATGCTTATTCATCTCACTAAACGCTCACTTGCACTCTGTTCACTCGTTTTTTATAGAAGGTCATTAAGGGTTGCTCTCTCTTATATAAACTATTTATTAAATTGCAGTCTTTACAGTCTACTACAGTCCATATCTCCATGTTTATCAGTGTTCGTTTAAATGCAAATTATATTTTTACACACTGCACATGCATGATTTTTGATTGGAAACACGTCCCATGTGATGTAAAGAGGAGTCATTTAAATGAAGAATGAGTAGAGAACATCGATTCAAATTTAGGAACGCTTCATTTGAATTCAAGACTGCAGGTTAAATACTCTTATGTTGAAACTGTTTTAGAATTTGCTTGTCTTGAAATAATACTGCTGTGAAGTTTACGGTTTTTGTTAGAAATACTTAAATCGTTAATGTGGAGAGATGGAAATGTGAAGGAAACATTGCTTTAAAAAGCGGTTTTGTTGCTATACCTACTATAATCACCCAGGAATGTCTGTCCTTAACACTCGTGATGTCACTCCACATCGACCAGCCCCCCTCATTAATATTCATTATCAGGTGACGTCCTCTAAATGGACACACCCCCCACCACTCATTAATAATCATGCGCAAGTGACGTCACTCCACATCGAACAGCCCCCCTCATAAATAATCATGAGCAGGTGACATCCTCCAAATGGACATCCCCCCTCTCATTATTACCTACTATAATGAGCCAAGAATGTCTGTGTGCAACGCTCGTGACGTCACTACACGTCGACCAGCCTCCATTAATAATCATGAACAGGTTAAGTCCTCCACATGGAGCCCCCTCATTAATAATCATTATAAGGTGACGTCCTCCAAATGGACACCCCCCCCCCCCCCCCCCCATTCATAATAATTATCGGCTGACGTCACTCCACATGGGGGGCCGAGGCGCCTCCTCCCCCTTCCAGGGCGTCAACTTACAACCCTCACGATAAAGGCAGAACCCTCACGTCACGTGATCTCCATAATGCTATTGAGACATCAAAGTAAAAAGTACGTCCTGATGAACAAGGGATTATAACCTTAAAATGAAATAGGTCTGTGTCACTGCGCCCTTACAAATTGCACACGCATTAATGCAATGAATATCTCGTTGCGGTCTGCTTTTTGCTTGCAAGTTTCAGATTTACTGCAATACACCAGTCCTTGGACAGGCAAAAGGCTAGTTACAAATAAATGGCTATTCAAATTAAGCAGCTTGGTTGCCTTTACGTTATAAATATTTTTCCTCAAGTGGTTTTCCAAATATTAATGACAAATCAGCCTTCCTGCTATGAGAAAAGATGAACGATTTTGCTTGCATTCGTGATGCCATTGTGGATGTGGTTTCATGGTTGGTATATTGGTGGTGTTCTTCCCATGCTGGTGGTTCTCAGATGGAGAGCACCATCAAGCAGTCGGAAAGCGAGCTGTCGCGGCTACTGGACTCAACCCGGCGTCTCCACGAGGAATATAGGCCGCTCCGCGAGAGCATGGATGCTTTGAGAGCGGCGATTGGGGCCGAGCGACTCCCGGACCTCCCGGACCAGGATGACAAGCTGTCACTAGAGTGAGCGCCACATAATCCAGACAGTACGCTTACAACAACACCACGTGTGACGGCACCACATGTACAACGCCATAGTTATAACAACACTACACTTAGAACAACACCACAGCTAAAACACCACACGTGATAATATGCTTATGACAACACTATAGGTACTACACTACACTTAAGACAACACCGAACTTATGAAACCATACTTGTGACAACACCACACTTAAGGTAACACCACAATTATGACACTAGACCTATGACAACACAGACCTCTCCCCAACGAGCACTTCTATAACGGATACTGTGCCAATGATGATACGACACTGAAGATGAAATAGGATTTCTGACACTGTAGATCTGCCCAAATAGCCATAAGCTTTCACTAGTATGGGCACTGCACTCATAACAACACTGCACTTGTAACACCAATGAGAATAACCCTGAATGGGCATCACATTGACCAGGATGAAATACCAACAACGACACCGCACTTACGATTCCATCCGACTAGGAAGACAAGCTGTTGCTAGATTGGCCCCACCATAAAGATTCCATCACTAATCACAACAACCTGCATTGATGAGTAAATTTTAAATGCATGATATTGTATAAGAGTAAGTGAATGAGTAAACGTTAGGCTCGCCTTGCAAGTACTTTAAAAGCAGAAGGGAATACTTTGTATGTATTGGTGAGTGAATGAATGACCCTTGGTGCTGTTCCTTTTGCTGCATATAGGTACTTTGAGAAGCAGAAGGCTGACTGGCACACAGACCCTCCAGAGCCCCCCATCCCCGAGTCCCTCGCAGCTGCTGCTGCTGCCGCCCAACAACTGCAGGCCTCGCGCAAACCCGACGCTCGTGGGGGGGCCTCCTTCCGACAGCAGCCACCCCCCATGAAGGTGCTGGGGACATGGGGTCAAAACAATAGCGAGTTATGGTATAACAAGTTGAGAGACTGCAGGTGGTGTAACTAGGCTGTTAGTGAATGTAGATTTTATCAAATGCTCAGTTAACGCTTCCGTAATAATTATGCATGTTATGACTCGTCATCTCCTAGTGATTGAATGAATTGTTGCAATTCAGGTTTGCTATTTAATTCAAGAAGCATATATTTTTTTATTTGTCTTGCTTCTACACTTGTTTGTATGTTTTGTTTTAACTTTTTTGTTCAGTTAGCCTTAATATAACATGCAATTTTCATGTAATTTTAATGATTAGCATTTGTGATAATCTACTTCTGGATTACCCCTCCCCCAAGAGGCTACCATGGTAGTTTGGACACATCACACATGTATTGTGAATGTATGTCAGCAGTTCTCCTGCTGTATCTGTTCCACTTGATGATGGTCGCTAGTGTTGCGATCGAAACGTCGTGATTTATTTTATTTTATACCTACGTTACTTTACCGAAAGAACCAAAGAGTACCCAAAGAGTATATGGATTGTGAAAGTGATTCGTCCCTGGGATGTCTGTCGATGTTCCATGTCTCCAATAGTTGGCAGGCATCATGAACGATGGTGCACACTCTCTCATTGCAGGCCTGCCTCTCGTGCCACCAGCAAATCCACCGCAACGCGCCCATCTGCCCACTCTGCAAAGCTAAGAGCCGCTCCCGCAACCCCAAGAAACCAAAACGCAAGCCTGATGAGTAGGCCTTGATTATAAGGGCCTGGGAGTGGATCCCAGGTCTCAATGCTCAGGCCATAATACTTTGTGTTTAACACAGGGCCCACACTAAAACCTCGAGTGTTAGACCAAGGCTTCTAAGTTCTAGGACTAGGCCATGCCCCATGGATAATAGTACTAGGACAAGGCTTATTAAACATTTCTCATACCATACCAAGTTTCATTGTAGAGAATGCAGATTCGAGTACCATGCTGCACACTGCAGTGTCAGAAAAAATAATCTAATACTAGATCAGTGTCTCCAAAACTAGTTTGTCACCTACTACTGGGCCATGCTTGTAATACTAGGCCTTGCCCAAAGTACTAGAGCAAGGCCTCTTAACACTTGTTTCAAACAGTGAGGGCTTGACCAAGGAGCCTTGACTAAGGCCCCAGATGAAGAGGCTTCACCAGTGGAGTTTTTAGTTATGGTTTCCAAAATTACAATTCATTTTCACTGAAATAAAATCAGTGTTATTAGCAATGCGTTAAATTATAATTAGCACAATAGGAAATATTAACAAGATCCATTCGCTTAAATTGGAAAGGTTTATGACGTCGGAAAAGAAGCTGAAGTCAATGTTTGTATATAAAAACTGTTTAAAACTGAAACAGTTCGTGGTGTTGAATGTGAAGTTATTTGTTGTCAAGTGAAATGGATCTGTTTCATAGTTTAGATACTGTACAATTTCAGAAAGTTCCAAGCCAGATTACATAGGGGTTGCATGACCCAGCAGGCAGCAGCCAATCAAATCGGCAAATGTGAAATGTCTGGTTGCATTCCACACATAATTGAAAAAGAACATAATAGATAAAAAAAATATATATGGATTTGGTGTGAATGTTTTTAAAGATAAAGACCTGTAATCATCAGAATGGGTTTGTTCAAAATGTGGCTATTCAACAGCCTCGAATCCCGTCTCCATATCTTACTAACTAGGTCGAATGTGATTAATATTGAGTTAAGTAGTTAAAGTGAAAAGTAAATAATATTTCAGTCATTTAATATTTCTCCCATGATAACCATGTTTTGTAATAAGCATTGTATAATGCTTATCCATCACCATTATATCCATACCATGTTATTCATACATGCTAGGATACAAATATACATGTATTCGCCATTTACCATTCATTCCAAAGGATTGGCAGGAAATTTGGATGAAGACTTCAGAAAAACTCAACTGTGACTACTTCAGAGTTGCGATGAACCCTGTACTGACTTGAGTTCATTGTGCTGTGTAAAACCGGGCTCTTCGTCATGATCCTTGATGAGGTCCACATTAGAATGGTCCAATGCAGCGTGGTGCATATGATGCAAATCAACAGTATAGAGGCATACACGGCCTGTGGATCGTTTGAAGGTTCTTATTTGTGACATCCCTCATGTAAGACCCAATGTCCCCTTCATCATCAGGACAGAGTTTGTTATACAATTGCAGATGCTATTTTCTCCAGACGCTCTAACTTCCTAAAAAACACAATAATAAAATACGTTATATTGATCAAACTTCCCAAAGCAAAGGTCCTCCTAAACATAATTCTTGAGACTCGGGCATTCCTAGATTAACTTATACTATTTTGCCACTCTGTCCCATTCCTAAATAGTGATAATTATTGATCGTAATAAATGTGGCATATCTGCTTGTATACTATGAAATTCCCAAGCTGATTGTGGAAGCACGGTGTCGTATAGATTAGGCTTGGTGCTGTGTCGTCCGTTAGTCCTTCTGGACGATTGCTCTTCATAGTGAGTTCTCCGAGTTTGTGAACAATAGGTTGCCTAAGGCCAACCCCTGGCAGAGCACGTTGGGGCCCCTGGGTGGGTGTGGTGAAGTCTGTTTCCGTGAGCTGTGATGTATGCTTTGTGATAAGTTTATTATTGGAGCAGTGTATTACAACACTAACAGAAACGCACAAACACCTTATGCACACATGCATATACGCCTGAAATTAAACTTGTACTCTTAAACACGTGATTACACCCTCGAATACTTGCACTCTGTAATATACTGACATGCAAACATGCCCACAAACACCGTACATTAATATACACAAATGAGCAAACTGAACGCACTAATATTTACGCAAAAGAACAGTTTTGCATTGTGACACGAGTAAATGCAAAGAGTGTTCCCCTGAACAAATTTTGCAAATACGAACATTAAAAGTTGTTGAAAGTCTTAATCGTTGCGTGGTTTCTGTTTTTAACAACGAATGCCCTTCCATGTTTCGTTCACCTGGGGGCAGTTACACAAGCTTCCACAGGATATTTTTCTGTCAACCGCAAGATGAATGAATAAATCTGGTCTCAACACTGGCTCCAATTCATTCTAGTTGGAATCATTGTAATACAAATATAGGTCATGGGTAATGCATGGCCATTTCTTGTAAAGGTGAAACCTTACAGGATGGCATTTTTTCTCAATCGTGCAACAAAAGTAGCATCAAACATCGCATATATCTGAATTGTATATTCAGTAAATAAAAGAACATGCCCACATTTTATATGTGGGATAATGGTAATTGCAATGCATTTTCTCATCTGAAAATCATTTAAGATTAATTTATGATCTGCTTTTGTGGATCCATGGCAAGTGGTAACCGTTACATCAATGTTTGGCACCCTTGTCGGTAATTGAGCATGTTCTCGGCATTAAACGTCCCAAATGTACAGCATCATGCCTCTTGTTTTGATGGGATCGGGCACATGCAGCATATCGGTTTCCAAAAATATCAACGTTCTCTTATGCAAGCATCCGGTATCCTTGTGTAGTGTCTTCTGTGTGTGCGGTGGCGTGCGTCGCACACACACTCCGTCGGAGACGAGGTAGGCACAGGAGGCACCATCCTCCCCTTTTATTGTTGGGTTACGCCACCACTGGAGCCCCCTCTCACACGACCACCACGCTGCCCCCACGACCCGTCTCAGACACGACCCTATCTGCGTTGCACCGACGGCGTCGACCGGGACACCCAACAACTGGCCGCGCAATGATTGGGCGAAAGCGGCAGTGACCACGAGAGGAGTCCAATCCCAGAACCGGCAGCCCGGAGCTCTCGCTCTCCGCTGCTTTTGTTCCCCTCGGCGCGGCGTGGCTCCGCCCTAGCCGCGGGGTCTACCGTGACCCTTGGCCCAGTTCCTCTGCCCTGCCGGCACACCCGCGTATATGCTCAGCGGCGGATGCGCGAAGTGCCCACCTGCAGTTGCAGCTGCTGTACAACAGTCATTGTTATGTCACTACACATGTATCAAAACGTATTTTGTTTTCTTGTGCAAGCTAGCAGACCGCATTTCCTTTTGACGTCCATCCCACCTGCCCTCCCCTCGTTGCTCCAGCAAACTTTTCCTAACCTATTTGTTAGTTTGTCTTCATACGAACTATTTGAACACGTTTTACTGCAAGGGGAGGGGGGACACAACTCTCTGAATGACCACCAGAGGGCGAGTGTGTACGGTGTTGGGAACTTCCAGTTGGCATTTTGCACCAATACGTTTAAAAAAAAATTACCAGCGCATTACGTATACAGTATATTCTTTTGAAAACAAATTCCTGAAATTAGTAAAACTATATGCACACGTATTTTGAATGCACTGTTATTAAGGCCGCAGTTAACAGGAAATATGTTTAATTTGTATGCAGTAATATCTCCAACTTTTTATTTGAAACTCAATCTCCCGTAGTTGACGTTGCTTTCGTTTAAGGGACCCCTCTGTATCCAAGACACATGGTTGAGTCTCCACTGAGAAATTACCCTCTTTACGTGACACTTGGTCGATTCGTTAACCCATCGCTCTAGCGGGACTTGCTTCGCCCCGTCAGCTGAGATTGCGTGGATCGGGATTTCCCAAAACGGTGCTGAAGCTCCATAGAGAATCCTTTAAAGTGTTCCTTTCGGCGTTATTGCAGCGGTGCCTTCGTGTGTATCGGAATTATGGAGTCGCAAGGACCGTCTCCCACTTCGTTTTGGAGCGACGCTTCGGTTCGCTCGGCTTCAGCTGAGTCCGCAGAACCCCGGCCCTGTGACGCAATGAGCTCATTAGCATACGGGTAGACTCGGTTTCCCTGGCGAAGCTGCGGATGCAAATTTTATTTAAAGTTTTTTTTTTTTTACGGAGGCGAACGGTAGCCCAAGTCTTTCGTGAAAAAATTACCACCACAACACTACACCCTTAAGTGTAAAATCATGTTTCAGCACAGAGTTTTGACATTTTTTTTGTACTCACATTTATGTAGCGACCTATTTTTGATGGGGTAAAAGTAACGAGAGTTTATAACAAAAGATAAACAAAAAAGATCCGTGCAGGCGGGTATAGAGTAGAAGGATGTGCAAAAATAAACGTAATATAAGATATGCGTGCAGAGGGGAGTTAAAATACAGGTGGACCGGTCACATTTAAATTAAGGCACGGGGAGAGGGGAATTGCTGCTACTCAAGGACATTATTGAGACTCACCCTGGCGCTCAGACAACTCCACAAATCCTATCAGGTGGCAAATTAGCGTAGGCTCTCAAATTACATCGGTAGGTTGTGGGCGAGTGTGTTTAGTTGCCATTAAAAACGCGAATTGGCTATGACAGGTACAAATGGCCTCCACCATTGAATACTTGTTCAAGTTGATCAGGGTCTTACTAGCACGATAAAGTAAAGTGAGACTGAAAGTCAGCATTTACAAAAACGTCACTTTATTATGGCTTTGTTTTAAAGGCAATACGTTTTATATTTGCGCGTCACACGTCACGTGTTATTAATGCTACATGTTGAGGCTTGGGCAGCTGAACAGCAACCTTGAACTACCGACAGCGATTAGTCACAGTGTTGTCTACTATTCATCCAGTTTTTAAGTGAATAAGTAATCTCAGGTCAGCTGGGGGTACCAGAACGCACACTCTTTTTTATCAAACCACTTCGGTGAACTATCATTTATGGTCAGGTCACTTCTGAAAAATAAGCAAATAGTATAGAAGCTAATAGCTAAGTGAGGTTTACCTGGTAAGAAAAAAAAACTAATTGTTTAGTGTTATTTGTATGTATTTCTAAGTGATGTATTTACCTTTTCTTTACCTTACACTCATATCGTGCTTTGCATTGTTTGTTTTGTGTTAACGTTCTGACCAGCCACGACTGGACATCTGTAAAAAAAACAGCTTCATAGCTCATCGGGTTCCTCCAGAATAAATGATTCTGTATACACCAATGTGAAGCATGGGCCAGGTTCACGCCTTGATGAATTGTGCCTCTCGATTTAAAGCTTTCGTGACTGCAGGGATTCATCTTCTGGGTTCTTTCGGTAAAGTGACTTTACCGAAAGAACCAAGATGAATTGTGCATCATTGCTGCTGCGTTTTTAACAACATTGGACCAGACGCGTGAATCGGGCCCAATAAATGAATAATACAGCACGAGGAAGCCCTTCCGCTTGCAGTGGCGCGAGCATGTCATTACACAGCCTGCACCTTTACTACAGAGGGTGCGGGGACTCAACATTCAACGATTCTCGGAATTACCACCAGAGGGCGAGTGCGTATTGTGTGTAGGGAACTTCGAGTCGGCATTTTACACAATACGCTTTTAATTTCTCACAGGCGTTATAGCTCCTTTTGAAAATAAATCTACGGAGATCAGTAGAACTATACACACACACCCTGATGTGTCAATGCACCATAATGAAGGCCGCAGTGAACGGGAAAAAGTTTGATTTGTACGTGGTATATTTTCCTATTCTTACTTTAATTTGAAATCCAGTCTCGCGTCGGAACAATTGACGCCGTTTAAGGACCCTTATGTATACAAGGCAGATGGTTCAGTCCCCATTGCCTGAATTGCACTTGGCAATGCACCTCTCTGCATGAGACTTGGTAGAATCTTTACTCCATCGCCCTCACGAGACCTCGTTTGCCTCAGTCAGCGCAGATTGTGTGAATGGGATGACGACAAATGGGCTTCAAGCTTGCTTCATGAGAAGACTTTAAAGTGCTCTTAGGTTTTTTTCGGTAAAGTCACGTAGGTAGAAAAATTAAAATAAAAAATAATAGAAGTAAAAATAGAACTAAAAATTATTATTATTGTATTTCTATTATTAATAATAATTAGAAGAAAAAATAATAGAAGTAATAATATAGATAAAATAATCATTATTATTGTAATTCTATTATTAATAATAATTATTTTATTTATATTATTACTTTTATTGTTTTTTATTTTCTACCTACGTGACTTTACCGAAAAAACCTAAGAGTATGAATCCTTGCAGTCACGAAAGCTTCAAATCTAAAAAAGACTTTAAAGTGTTTGCTTATGCATCGTTACAACAGCGCGCCTGCAAGTCAACTGAAGTTGTTGGGGTTTTTATTGTTAAGGAGGAGAGTGGGTGACAAGGAAGGTGGATGCTTGGCAATGAACGGTGTCCCAAGAACCCTGTCAAACAACAACCACTGCAACTTCGACCTTAAGTGTAAGTTATGTACAGAATACAGTGTCTAATGTTTTCAAACATACAGTATATTAACACAATTGTTTGAAGCTAATTTAAATCAAGCAACACGTATCGTTATGCAAAGTCATACCGCATTGCTTGAAGATTTAAAATGTTACTCTAAAATATCCACACATTCATTCGGCAAAACTAATTATATTTCAATACAGTAAACTATGTTGGAAAAATGAAGCATTTTATTCGTGCATACGGTATATTAGTGTTAGGCTCCTAAATATTGAGTATTGTCTTTATTATTAATAGTGCATATCAAGTAAAGCTATGACCAAGTCACTGAGAATGCACCCACTCTCATTGGATCTTGGAAGCAAAGCAAATTTGAGCCTGGATATTGCTTGGATAGGAAACCACCATGCATAAAACGGATTAAAGGTAATTGCGTGTCAACGTGGTGCACAGCAGAGGGCAGTACATCAAAGTGCATTGTTTTAGCCGTATGTCTATGCCCCTAGCCTTCACCAACCCGAACTGACCAATGTCGAATAATCAAATGACCCCCACGACCTGCACAGACGCGGGGAGACCCTCCGCTGTCAGTAAAGCCTCGCGTGTTTTTCTTCCCTCCATCAAAAACAGCTGCTGCTGTCTTCTCAACACTTGGCAACAGGTACAAACCCTACAGGGAGACCAAAGATGTGTGTCAATGGAGGTGACGCAGAGCATTGCAGTTAAAGACCATGGACTGGTTGTCCCTAACAGAAGGCACGTAAAGGCCATGTCTATGCACCAAATAACACCGCTGTAATCCCAGGTTTAAATGCAGGAGCTGATTGGTTTTTGGTCTCAAGGCACTGAGCCAGGCCTGGTGGTTTGGATGCGGTGAGGATATTGGTTAAATATTCGTGGTCAGAGAGAGAGTGTGGGAAGTAATACTGGTGCTAAAGTGTTTTCATTAAGGTGGTGGTTGAGTTATTTTGAGTGTTGATAGTGATGCTGGCATTGGTCATGGTGGTGATGATGATGATTTTGGAAATTGTGATGGTAGTTTTGGTAGTTGCGGTGGAGTATTGTGATGATTGAGAGAGTGGTTTTAGTCGTGGTGGGAGCGATTGTGGTGGTGGTTTGCTAGTGGTGGTTTTAGTAGTCAAGGTTTAGGTAATTTTGGCAGTTGTGGTGGAGTAAATGTGAGTGGTATAATGGTAGGAATGACGGTTTTAGCATGTGCTGGTGGAAGCTCAGCAGTGGTGGTCGTTTAAGTAGTTAGGTAGTGGTTTTTGTCGGTGTAGTGGTAGTAGTAGTGTTGAGGGTGGACCTTCATCTTTGCGCCGTCTCAATTTGAGGATGGTGAAGATGGTCAGGCCAATGACCAACAGACCAGCAACTCCAGCAACGGCGAATATCGGGACTGCACAGGGGACACACAAACACACACTCGTGGGAATATGTAAATGTATGTGAATACATTACCCTGTGAAGACACGCTGGCAAAAAAAAACATGCATTAACATAAGAGATTTAACACCGGCATAACTACAGTCGTGAATAACCAATAAACAACATAAAAGTTATCCAACATCTTGGTTTGCCTAGGACAAGTATCAGTTTTCTAAACGCTGTTTCAGTGTATCGAAGCGTTTGTGAAAATGTGAAATTTGTCCCGAGTCTGAAGATCGACTCTTGATACGGGCTAAGGACAGGGCAATTTGGGTATAGTTGATAGATGAGTGAGTAGATGGGGCCAATTTCAGAAATAATTATGTCACTCTGGTGGGGTAAGAGACTGATTAATTGGCGCCAGCTTTTGATTGGGCGTGACTATATAATAATACAGGGACTGGTAGGAGAAGGGGTTTCTAGTCCACCATGTTTCCCATATGAGCCTCTCAGAAATTTGGTAATTTTAAAGCAAATTAATTAAGACCCGTCACTATATTCTTACAATGGCATTGGTTTATGAGGCGAACCCTTGCTGTTCAGACATGGTGAATCAAAATCGGCGAATGATTGCTTTAATTAACCAGTTATACTGAGAAACTTTCATTTGAATATTCTCTGCAACTGGATGGATGTATTATTTTAGCATTTGTTTTTTATTGATCCAATTTTATGGTCATATTCATGCCGACCCTAAATACACTTTCTAAGTATCATCATTGTAACCATTTGACTCAAACGACTAGACTCGCCACATCGTGTGTTCGGGAGAGTTTTGGCATCACTGAAACTATAATAATTATTTTTCAAATATAACTTTTTGGAGATCTAATAAAGGGTAATCAAAAAGTCCAACTTTAAGTTTTCAACCAAAATCATAAAAAGGGGAAAGACATACTCATAGATTTTGGAGTCGGATAGAGCCCGTAGCATTCCTCCATCGTGGTAGTACAATTTGGCGTCTCGCAATCTACATGCACACACCACACACAAAAAACAATATCCCCCATGTAGCCTTTAACAGACTGTTAAAGCAAGTGCTATTAGCGAGCACATATGAAGGCCAGAACGGTACACGAGAGAGTGAGTAGCCAGCAGCACGCCCGGCCATCGTTGTCTCCCAAGTGGCGATGTTTACACACTGTACCAGATACTAATTTGAGACTTAGTCGACCTCGCAGAGGCCCAGCACCATTTCAGATAATCGTCACAGGTGTTGGCTGTGAGCGGGAATCGAACTTTGGTATCAAGTTCAGAGCGCAGTGGTTAGTGCAGCACGCTAACTGCTACACTACTGCTCTCCACACACATTTATGTACAAAAAGCAGTATATACTCAGAATCTCCAAAAAACCTCTAATTAAACGTTACAGGCTGTGAACCCAAGCCCTGTTAGTAAGCTCCTGCTCAGGCTGTCACAGGACACAGGTGGGGTTGTACGCCAGGCACTGCCTTGTCTCTCCAGTATGGATGCTGATGAACACACTGTGCCTGTTTATCGCTCGGTATGTAAATATCACATGGACAAAGTAGAGTATAGCCCTCACCTCTGGGGTAGACGTTACTCACGTATGCACAGTGCTCCAAACTAAATTCCGTATATATACCTGGGGGCAAGACCAGAATATTTAGAAATCAGTAACATTGAATTAACAAATTCGTATAACACAATAGCAGCAAAACTGTAAAAAGTTAAACATTGAATGTACTGATCCATACATAAAATAATAAAATATACATCAACAAGAAAACATTTTCAGTAAAATAATAAATCTGGTACAATAAAGGAAATGTAGGAACACTTCATTAACCTCCATTGTCGCTTTTGGGCTGACAGACAGAAATATAAGAGATACATAAATACTACCAAAAACACACCTCATAGAGAATTGTTGCCATGACATCTAGGGGTTTTGTATTCATCAGGATTTAGGATTTTCGGTGCTTGTGTAGCTAACCTGGGTTTTCGAATTCAAACGGTCTTTCGTTTACCTGGGTTTTATAACTCGCTTAAATGTTTTAGCTTACTTGAGTGTTTAAACTCATCTCGGTTTTAGTGCTCACTCTTTTTTTACTTACGTGGATTCTTGGCCATTTCCTCATGGTGTTTCTTAATGCATTCCTCTGTATTTTCAAAACACTTAATGTATGCACAGTCTGTAAACAACAACAGTCCTTAGTAACAGTCATAAAAATGGCAGCAAGGCATTTAAATGCAGTAATGCATTTAATGATTAATATTCAATTTTTATACCAGTTATGCACCTTTTATTGACTGCACATCACAGTAGACATCAAACACTTAGAAATCCAATCTGAAAATACTTATAATTTACAGATTATTGTCACTTTACGATGATTACCGGAATCCTCGGAACACCGCGGTGGATTAAAACGCTCCAAGGAGAGCTATCCATGAAGCAAGTTTTTAAAACTTGGATATGAGGTCTAGAATATGTGAATAAAACAAAACCTTTCTGAAATATGAATCTTAAATATAGACCCATATTGCAGATTTATGCCATTTCGTTCTTATAAAAACGCATGACCATGTAATACCCGGATTTATCGCATGACTTATTTTCATTCATTAAATTAACAATGCCATCAGCAAATTTGAGATGGCTAAAATATTCTCCATTTATACATAAGCCTTTTTATTCTTCAATCAAGTTTCAGAAGATATATTTTAATGTTCCTCCAAGTAACCTGGTTACAGCATTATATTATTTATTCACTCCTCTTATGATTTGTACTTTAATGCTCTTTTCATACAATCTCAATTTACCATTTTCTCATAATATAGTTTTGATAATAGGCTTTTCCCCTTTCTGGCAATAAAACAGGTGTTAAGATGCTAAAACACCAAACTGAAACCTTTGCAAGGAATTCGTTCATGAAGCCATCCATATTTATAGACTCAGACACAATTTCAACCGAGAAGATGGGTACAAACTGAGCAATCATTGGAAGGACGTTATTAACCAGTTTAAGTCATAACTGGCTGTGATGTTTCCATCCTACCTTCCGATAGTAGTCTCACTTTAACATCACTAGCCCCGCCCACTTCGTTTATGATCCTTGGGCTACATCCATTTCGAAGCTTTAAAACAGACTGCCTCAGCAGCTTTCCCCCTCCTTTTTTCCTCCTGATGACGATCGCTTGTGTTGCGATCGAACCTATCTACGTGACTTTACCGAAAAACCCAAGAATATGAATAACCGATATGTAAGATGATGGTGGTAGGTTGGCAGTTACCAATTAACCAAGTCCTGGGTTGCTCAGCCGGAATCACTCATTGGCAAACGAATGATGAGGGTGGTTATGTTTCCTCGGCCAGCACTGCTGCGTGATCTCGCTCGTAAGCACTTTGGAGATATTTTGATTTAATAAAAAATAAATCTCCAGGACAAGGAGCGCAATAACAAATCGGCATTCTACGGGGTCCCGCTAAGCGAGGTCTACCTGCATTTACGATAATCATCATCAGCCATGACTCATCCACTGCCGGATGAAGGTGTCTCTCCAACCTACAATAATCTGATTTAGCTGCTGTATTTTTTTTCTCTTGAGCCTACTGAGTCATCTAACGTTTTGATTCAATTGCAGATTTCAACCATGGATAAGAGCAGCCTTACCGATGAACTCGTTTGTCATGTAGAGGACATTGAAATTGTTCATTCCTGAAACAGAAAGATGATAATTGTGCATGCATGCACGCACATTAATTTGCAGCATCACTCATTAAACTGCTGATTGAAAAAATATGGGAGTTTATTTGTAAGCACGGACATTTCAGTAGACTGGAATTGGCTTTTGCAGACTCATGCCAAGATGACCTGTCTAGTGTGAATGAACACTTTCAGCTGGGACATCCAGTTCAAAAGAAAACGTAGAATGATACAAGAACACCTGCTCTTCATTGCAAAATCTCTTATAAATGACTATCCCACTGTCAAATGTAAATTATATGACTATATATACACTATTCACTTGTATGCCTTGACCATCGGGTCTTGTACATCTTATATGCCTACATATCAGCTCTGAGGTCCATAAAATGAGTATCACTTTATTGGATGTCAGCAGTGATTCTATTGAGAGACGTTCCAAACTTTAGGCGAAATTTTCACCACAATGTATTTGTACGAGTGTAATTTTCTTATTTCAGTATTGTTTGTTGAAGGCACATACTCACCCACGTCATGGATTCGCTTCTTCCACACGGGCTCAAAGCACTCACGACGCACCTTGACGTACTTCTCTGCCTTACAAGCTGCACACATCAAGGCCCCACAATTAATAACACGTTTACACAAATTCTCGTCCATGTGGAAGTCCATGACACCAACTCGATTATAATGTCATAACTGTATTCAAGAGTAACGCTTTACATGTCATGATAAACAAAACAAACATTCATATAAGATTGGAATATAATCATTACCGTTCCATTTCACCACTGTTACAACTAAACCTTGTAACATTACTACTATGCTACCCAGTTATAGCTCTACACCACCCATTGTTAAGTCTTCGACTACACAGTGCTACTTTAAGGCCACCAGCTTTACGAGTCAGGAGTGGCACATCTCCCCAATATTGTGATGCAACAAATGCTTGCCTCCGACCAAATTATCCATAATATGCCTGATCCCGTCAGATATTGGAAGCTAAGCAGAAGTCATTGCAGCAACAACCATAATTGTGCTGTTATTTTACAATAACTACACTCCCTGCTTTCAACCCGCACTGACTAGTGTGGTGAAGTATGGTCATCCAGCAGTAGATTGATAAAAGTGCAGTAACGTACACACATTCACATGCAACCATATACATAGGTACAACATTCGTGTACATACATGCATGCAAACATAAACAGATATGTAAGTACATGCACATGATCACTTTCACAATCACATATACATTATCCTTGACTGCAAGGAATAGTTTGTCATTGCACCATATAGAAATTACGCCCATACAAATACAAAAGGCTTCCCAAACGTATAGGCAAATAAAGACGTTGACGAGTGTAGGAGACAGAGTAAGTCATCGTCATACCAAAGATGAACAGGAACTGGCTCATCCCGATCACATTCCAAGGTGAAGAGGGAAGGGCTGACCACGCAGCTTTACCTGGGGCCTTTCCACTATCATTAAGGAACTCAATGATCATGAACAGATGGTTAAGAACCACACCAATATAAAGAACAACCTAATTATGTTATTGATGGTATTACGATCCTTGACCACATTATTATTGAGTTCGGGTATCTGTCTTATTACAAATTTTGACACATCTGCAACAGATGGACAAAGATTATGATGTTCGTGCAAGGGATACAAGAGTTCAAATAAAACATCTAACTCATCTACTTTGTTCATGCCCTTTATAGGCGTTTGTCTTCTGTGAAGGTAAAGGCAAATACTACCACCATTACTGTACTTGCCTCCTGTTCAAAAAGGTGTGAACCCATAACAGACTGGAACTTTCTACATACTCCACCCCTACGCTCATAGATCATCTTCATAATCTTACTCATAAGAGAGCCACACCCCTTATTCTATGTTATTCTGCCCCAAGTAGAGCACTATCTACCTACCCATCATGGTGATAAGAGCTGGAACCATGCCTCCAGACCTTCTGTATTCCATAAAAGTCCAGCTTCTTACAGCATTTCTTCCTTAGCAAGCATTTATGTAGACATTCCATATAGTCACATTCACATACCACAATATGGGGTTTGACCAGCAGACATCATAGATAGCTGGCAGCTCGGGGCCTCCGGGTCTTATTTGTCATCGTTAAATTGGATTGTTTAATGATTTATTTGTGTTACGATTAATCGCATTAAATAAAATGGTTAAAATGGCAGGATTAATTTGATTATCCTCTCATTTCGAATCTTGGTGGTAAAATTACAATCACCCATACATACATACATGCACACGTATATGTAGACATGGACACGAATGCAGTTTTGTTTTAGTTAGTGCAGTGGCAAGGACTGTTCCAGGCATGTGGGTCGGCAATGGCAAAGCTGCGTCCGACAAACATTACTGCTTCTAGGCCACACAGCCTGATCTCAAAACGATAAAAAAAAAAATTTGCTCAAGACCACCTAGAGCTGTGTCTAGATGACCCAGTTGTACGGCTAAAGCACACGCCTCAAATTGTAGACCACTCAGAGTGCAATTCACCTTCGAGCAGATCCTTCGAAGCACTTTTTGTTTTGAGGCATTCGTTGTCGACTTTTGTGAAGCCATCCCCTTCACAGACTTCATCACAAGTAAAGTAGAAGAACATAATCAATTTTACAATAACAAACAACAAATATTGTCATTCAATAATGCTATTTTATGGTGCGTAGTTAATTCAGGAGGCTCAGTGAGCCAAACTAAGGCACCTTATGGCCACACTTACTTTCTTCAGGACTCAGGTGATTGTTGAGTGGCTTCTCACACTCAATCCTCGCATCGTGACATTTATCAAAGAGGCAGTCTGAAGCACAAGGTTGAAGTGGGGAGATAATACAATGACAATTCGTAATTTCTTCATACAAATCATAACATTTCCATGACTTCTGTGCATTGTCTTCTACGTGCTGTCCATCTCGTCTGTACTCTACATTTTCTCTGCATTGTCTTGCATGTTCTTTCTAAGAATAACTTACACCTATAAAACAAATTTACCTATAATGTACATGCTATAAAAAACATGATTGATTCATAGATGCATTATTCTATGTACGTATCTGGAGAGTCAGGTTTAAAAATTAATCAATAGATTACCATTAAATGTGCGTTGACGGCTAATCCTGTAACTTAACCCCACTCAATCACGACACTTCCTCTAGAGCCCAACCTTTGTAACTCCTTCTCTCCCTTGACTCACCGGAGAAACTGACGTTGGCATTGGAGCACTCTGATGTCGCGGCGTTGCATCCCTTAATCTTGCACTCTGTAACAGGAGAACATGGAGCGACGTGTCACGACAGAGAGAGCCACACCACGTGTCTACGAGATGACAGTGCATAAAGTGGATTGGTGATCTCATCTGTGCGAACAATTGAGTTGTATTCGCTTGCTATTGTGAAGTTTCTCCAGATACTCTAGTTTCCTCCCACATGAAAAAAAACACTCATTAAAGTGATTTCTAAACATCCTCAATGCAATCCCCTTGCAACTAAAACCTCAAGCAAGGGAGCAATATTTGACTCACTTTTGGTGTCTCTCCCACTCCTTTAAGCATTATAGATATGATTGCTCCTGGATTTCCAAATATTTGGCGTTTCCACTGCGAGCTAAGAATTCTGAATATTCCTTAGTTGGTCTCATTGAATATTTGACTATTCCAGTTAATCCTAACAATCCAAATACGCTTGAGTGTATATACATCACTTTTGAGTGTTTAGCATTTTGGATGGAATCCTAAGACATCCTTAGCTTCGCATTATGAGACTTGGGCTTTTACAAAACCCAGAGCAGGCTTTAGTTTACTTCCATGAATTTAGAAATTTACAATACATTGTTTGGTTATTTGTTGATTTGGGATATTTGAGTTTACACTAAATCTGAGAAATAACGAATGAAGGAATTGGTGAATGAGGTCGTGAATTCATGAGGGATGAAGTGAATCTACCCAAGAGGTAATTAATACATATTTCGAGTAATGTTTGAATAGGAGAAAATAAATGAACCTGTGAGTGAATGCAACTAATGTACATGGTGAATGCGAGAACGTGTAAATTTAAGAATTGCCGAATGATTAAATAGACAATTAGTTAGAGTCTTAACGACCAAATGAATGAATGGTAGAAAGATGCAATGTTTTAATGAATGAGTGAATAAGCTTACCGTGAATTTCATTCAATGTGAATCCACATTTTGCCTTCATGATGTCATCTGGAGGTCGCTCTGGTCGCACTGTATACAAGAATAATTATGGTATGATTAATATAACCATAAACTAGCATTGTCTTGCCGCCCACGCTCTGCAATTGTACATTCACCACAACGAATAGGCGATGCATGATATGCAATTCCTCCTCTTTCCATTTGCCATATGCCCAACCATTAACTCTTGTATTCACTCAGAATATAGTATTATTTTGGAGGTAGTGCTCGCTTAACGGTTCTTTTTAAATCCTTTATATTAAGTTCGCTTGCTTGCTTGCGTGCTTGCTTGCTTGCTTACGACCGTGCAAACCTTTCGGTCGTTTTTTAACCCACTTCCCGTGATCCAATCGAGCTGACATTTTCCACACAGACTCGTTGTGCGTGACAATTAATGTTCGTGAATTTTTTTTTTGTAAATTTTACACTTTTTAGGACAAAAATATTATATTTAATTACCAAATGCTTAATGGTGCAATGCAATAATCTGACCCATAGGTGGCAGCCATCTCAAGCCAGAGGACGAGAGGACTCAAGCCGCCACGCATATAAAGGATTTGTAGTGAAAAACTTTGTTTTTACTGGTTATACTTATTATTTGACGATTTTGCCCGTTCTCCATGTCAGATCACGCCGTGTCAAAAAAGAATCACGAATTTTTAAAAGGGGAGCTTTTCTGCAGATTAGTCGGGTATTGCCATGTGGGTACTTTCCATACTGGACACAATGCAAAAAGTATAAAAATAAACTTTTGTATTTTGGAGGGGGGGGGGGGGCGCAATAATGGATATATTTTGCACGGCAAGTGATTGATGACGTTACATCTGTGATGTCACCCGCATGCGGCAGCGTTACGCAGTGTGCCTGCTGACGTCACGCATCACCCCACCCTCCGCGAAGGCCGTTTATTAATCCAAGACAAGAATCCAAGTCTCGGGCGAAGCCGGTAAAGCTAGTATGAGATATAAAGCTCTTTTTAAATCCTTTATATTAAGTTCGCTTGCTTGCTTGCTTGCGTGCGTGCTTGCTTGCTTACGACCGTGCAAATCTTTCGGTCGATTTTTTACCCACTTCCCGTGATCCAATCGAGCTGACATTTTCCACACAGACTCGTTGTGTGTGACAATTGATTTTCGTGCAAATTTTTTTACAAAATTTTACACTGTTTAGGGAAAACAAATTAAATATTTAATTACCAATTGCTTAATACTGGCAGACAATCATCTGACCCATAGATGGCAGCTATCTCAAGCCAGAGGACGAGAGGACTCTAGCCGCCACGCATATAAAGGATTTAGAGTGAAAAACTTTGTTTTTACGAGTTTACTTGTTCACAGATGTCCAGTAGGGGCAGGTAAGAACATTACAACAATAAACAATACAACAAATATGATAGGAGTGCAAAGTAAAAGGTAAACAAATCACCCAAACACAAATTAAACTAAACCATCCCCATCCTACCAGACAAAGACCACTATAATTGTGATACATTTCAGTTTACTAGCCCTTCCAGAACACTATTAGAATTTGCAACGGTCACGATCATCTTTACTTATTTGATACATTAGCATGGTTGGCTACATACAGTGCTAAATAAGTTCGACATATATACATGCATAGGCTTTAATCGATTTAAATCGATTGTTATGCCTATGATACATGCAAAAAAATATTTATTATAATAATTAATTATTTGTCATTGATGTGAATTACATGCCAACGATATACCAACACTATAAAAACCGCAATTAAGACTTAAAATAACAAGAAACAATACAAATGAAATAAAAAATACATACACAACGATTTTCAATTATGAATTATAATATTAAAGAGCAATCCACATCGATTACAATTTTGATTGTTCTCCAACATACCGGTGTGATGAAGAAAATATAAATTGGCACATTAGTTCAGGAGACAACTTTACTTACTTGGCTGGGTCGAGCGGAGGAGGGTGTACGACACACAATGGCATTTTACTCATGCAATCTGACCAAAATATCAATATATTCATTGCCTACGCAAGTTTGTATTAACTTCTGTGGCTATTCGGGTCTTGTCCTAAAAGCAAGAGTTGATCAAAGACAATGGGGACCGGGTTGATATACGTTCTAAAAATGTTTTTTTAAGGGAATAAAAATATTATTTCTCACAAATGAAGTCTGGATTATTTGAAAAATCTAGAAATTTATATAGTATAATTTAAGTCCCCTAAACCTATGGAAGAGAGGTTTCACTCATAGGGCATGGTCAGCCTTAAGGTCTACATTGCGTCAAGGCTCGTGGTAAACACTAACAATACATCACCATCAAACCTAAAAAAATATCACTACCAAAATATGAGAATAGATTTTTTCCCCTTTTTTCTGGCAACAAAGCTTCAACGACAATGCATATATTATCAGAGTATGTTTTTTTGCATTCTGACCACAAGTATTGTGGTTAATGCAGACATGATTCCAAATCCCACCACTGGTTCAGAGTATATATTTATATACATGTATATAAATAAGCATTAATACCAGCACACAGAGATCCACAGTGGCCAAGCAAGGCGTTGATATTTTTCAGACTGAATCGATCTAGGGGAGGGCCTCCCCGGTGTCGTGTATGTACGCACGTTTCCTCTTGGGCTGTGCGACGCTGCTGTTGTTTTTGGCCACGTTAGCGACGACGCTGGTCATGGTGAACATGAGAGAGAGGAGCAAGGCGATCCTAGCGAGGAGATGCATGGTCCCTCTGTGAACAAGACACGGGGAGATACAGAGATACACTAAGAGACACAAGGAGATAAGCAGAAACTATAGTGATACAGGGAGAGAGGAAAGACAACAAGGATACATGTGTGAAGAGACAAAAAGACGCAGGGGGTGGCAGACGCACGAGGAGACACAGTGATAGGAGACCTATAATACACGGGGAGACAGGAGAGACACAACGATGCATGTAAACCACGGGCAATATTAAAGGGACATAGATAAATACGGGAAGGCATGTGGAGACAGCATCAAGAAAATTTTGACAAAAAGATGCATGGCCCCTGTGTGAATGGGACACGAGGAGACTGAGGACACGGGAAAACAAAGGGAGACACTCACGCTGATGAGTTGAGTAGAGTCACGAGGACACACGACGTCTGAACGGGACTGCGTGAGACACCTTATCATCTTCATTTAAATATCCCCCAATCCATTCCCAAAGGAAGTGTGATCCACGTCTTGTTTTGCATCTGGTTTTCCTGGGGGGAGTTTTGGGAAACCTGACCCAATTCTTCACAAAACTTGATAATTTCCAGAAATTCCACTGGCTGAAAAATAAATCACATTTGAACATGCATATGAGCTGTTTATAATTGAATTGGATGCTCAAATATTGTCACAGGCCATCATTAGCACCATGAATAGGATGAGCACAGTAGAAAGCCAGCAATCAGTTTCCACTCATATAAATTGAAGATAGCCCTATTCTGATGTGTTCAGTGTGTTTTTAGGTATTATAAACATGGTATGAGACACGAAGATCATGACTTTATCTCCCACCATTAAGAAGTTACGTGCCTTTAATGTTTTTCATGGGGCCCATTTAGTGTTTTGCTTATTTCGGTCGTAAAACATCCAAAATCGAACGTACCAAACACATTTTTTTTGTTCCAGCATACCAACATCCTTTGTTTAAAAGTGGTTTAACAACTTTTCCTCAAAAATCCCTCCCACATTTAGATTTATTGAGAATTGTCATAGTCTGCAAGGCTTCAAACACCAGATCAGGTGAGTACATCATCCATGTGATTTTTTTCTATATATTTTCAAAATTACTTATGTTTCAACGAAATATCTCTCGGTCCTGTGGCTTCAAATCGTTTTCTTAGACCTCTCCCCTGCCTCGCTCACCTGCCTCTCTTTAATAAATACACTCCTCTCCTGTTTTATACATCTCTATCGCTGTACTCACCTGATCGGCCCATGTACAAGAAACTCAATGTCATGGCAATATACAAAATTAATATACGCCAAATATGCACCTTTATCTATAAACACACGTACCTCTGAGGCATCATACCAAAACCCCTCAAAGTACTCTTCTAGGTTAATACAACACATGACACTCCAATAACCGTCACCCTCCCCACTGCCGCACCACACATAATCAATTCTCTATCAGATACAGAGGTTCCATACTCTGGCATTCCTATCTTTACATTGCCAACATATCACCATCCCTCAATAACTTCAAGCACAGACTACGTGTCAGCCTAATGAGCCTAACTTTTATACACACATTTCAGCACATATGTGCACACACAAACAAACATATTTTTTTGTCGAACACTAAGTTGAACATGATTTGGAGCTTTCGTGACTGCAAGAATTACTTTTTGGTTCTTTCGGTAAAGTCACGTAGAAAGCAAATAAATTAAATAATATAATACGACGTTTCGATTGCAACACAAGCAATCATCATCAGGTACGAATGAATGAATGTTGACTGTTATGTTAGCCGACTCTCTGTGTTGTATTGCATTATATTTATAAATTTACTAGGTTTGTTTTCTCATTCATTCGTATCTGATGATGATTGCTTGTGTTGCAATCGAAACGTCGTATTCTAATAGTAAAAAAAAATCTTCGTGACTTTACCGAAGGAACCAAAAAGTAAGTTTAACATGTTTAATTGTAATTAGTATGCTTTGCTTAATTGATTAAACAATCTGTTTTGTATATAGATTGTTATTTTTTGGTGTTTTTTTTTCATATAAGCCCTCTTTGGTTTCCAACCTCACCTGCCCACCTTTTTACTTTTTTATTGACACGGTTTGTCTTTCAATTATCTTTTTTGTGCGAATAATAAAATCTACATTCAAATCAATCGCTACTGAATATCTCTATCTCATATCACTTGTGCATGCATATTTTTCTATTGAACGTGTCTCTTCTATCAGCTGTTGTTTCTGTCTATTATTACTATACTAGCCTTTTGCCCGTCCTAGGATGGAAGCTGTAATATTTACGAAATAATTGAGCGGAGTATAATTGTATCTGGTGTAAATTTAATGGCAGTGAATCTTGCACGAAATAATGTAATCAAACACTACACTGCATTTCACTGTAGCACTGTATTAATGGAAGTGCATCTTGCACAAAACGATGTCATCAAACACTTCACTGAAATTCACTGTAGTACTGTATTAATGGCCGTGATTCTTGCACAAACTATGTCAAAAACACCTCACTTCATGTCACTGTAGCACTGTATTTAAATGACCTTCAATTAGCCTTTTGGCCATCCTAGGACGGAAGCTGTAATATTAAAGATGTATATTTACGTTTTCTTGTGATTTAAATTTTTTTTTTAGGAATTGTTGCACTTAAATAAAAATTTCTTAACTTAAAAAATGAAACCTCGGTATACGATATTGTGTGTGAATCTCTTGTACTGTATTAATGGGAGTGATTCTTGCACAAAACTATGTCATTAAACACCTCGCTACATGTCACTGTAGCACTGCATTTAACTCACCTTCAATTAGTTCAAAATCACTGCTCTGATACTTTATTTTCTTCTGCTTTAGCTCGCTAGGGTTGTAATCAATTTGAATTGAATACAATGTCTGGAAAATCACGTTGAAATGTATATATATCTCCATATATATAAAAGGCAAAAGTGTGATTACGTGTCTGTTCAAAATGTTTAGCGTACTTCCCGACATGCAACAAACTGCAAATTTGCCATGTGGGTACTTTCCAGACTGTACACCATGCAAAAATTATAAAAATACACCTTTTTGGGGGGGGGGGGGGGGAGTTCAATAATGCATATATTTTTTGCACGGCGAGTGACCCGCACATGTGGAAGTGTAACGCATTGTAGTGTAGCGGGTAGCTCGCTGCGCTACGAACCCGGCCACCCGAGTTCGATTCCCGCTCACGGCCACCACCAGTGACGGTCCTGGGCCTCCCCTAGGTCGACTCAGCCTCAAACGAGTAACTGTTGTGGTGTGAACATCGCCACTGGGGAGACAAAGGCGGCCGGGTGTGGTGAATCCAAGTCCCGGGCGAAGCCGGGTAGTAAAGCTAGTTTTATCATAATTGAGAAGCACAAAATTAGACTTACCTTTTGTTTCAAGTGCTGAAGAAATAAATAAAGACACGAAATACATTTTGTTGCTGCGCAGAATTATTTATTTGATTAACTTTCAATAAATAAACGTCAAATTGAAAGCGAATTTGCGTTTAAAAAATGTCCTGTTTATGATAGTAATGGCAGTGGGGGGGGGGGGGCTCTTTGCAGTGAAGTCACGTACGGATGTAGCACTGTGCTGCGTATATTAACTTTTTTACTGTCACTTTCTGTAAAGAAACGTCATATTTGAAGCGACTGCGAAAAAAAATATCTTTCCACTCGACCTTCTTCCGCGTGAGTGTAAAAATGCACACGCTCGTGATTATTTTATTATTAATGACGGGGGGGAGGGGTGCAGCATGTGGAGTGACGTCACACGCGTTACACACATTTCTTGGCGATTATAGGAGTAATCTCTCTCCTATCTTAGATATCGTATGAATTATTTTAGAATTCTGAATGTATATATAACCTATATATTGTGTAATGATGACTTGACACACGTCTCTTGAGATGGCACTGTCCTCTTCTGTCACCTGACTACGCTCCCTTCTCGAACATCCCCGTAGCCATCAGTCCCTTCGCACTCACAACTGACTCCCCTGTCATTACCTCCCGTGGCCACTAGTCCACTCACACCGCATGTAGACTCTATTATCATTACAATTGCATTTCAATACATTTCATCGAAACTAATCTCTCATTTTATATCTCAGATGAGCATCTGTATTTATGTTATATCATGTTTTATAAATCCTGTACATTCTATCAAACATTTCTCTTATCTCTAATCTCATTAGCTCCTCTCTAATCGCATTATATATCTTTGTTGTGTCGACCTTGCTCTTTTATGATTTTACAGCATCTTAGCCGACAGCAGTCTGCATCACTCTTATTGTATGATATCGCCATGTCTTGCGTACACATTTCTTTCATCTTCCTAAATATGTTTAATCTACATCACTCTCGTCTCAGTTTCTCTGTTGTTTGTTTTCTCGCTACATTCTTCTAACTTGCATCTCTCTTCTGATCTTACTACATCTCTGTCAATTGCATTTGTTTAGCAAGGTGAGAACTCAAGAGACCAGGACAGTCTCATTTGCAAGAGCAATCTAGATCACAAAAAATATGAAAGCAAAACGAAAAAGTACAGCAATGAAGTAAATAAAAAAATGGTGTCCCATAATTGTCTACGCAACTCTTCTTTTGTCACTCTTCCATCATTCATCACGTGACATCTCTTGGTCATGGCAATTGCTTCCTGTAGGCCTACGTGTATTGCTCTTATATGTCTTCCTTGATGCCGAAAGTCCACCTTCACTTCTTGCTTCTTCCACGTGGCAGTGCAATGATGGTCATATGTTCGCCTTCATACGTTTTGACATATCTAAACCAAATACGTCTACATCTTTTATGTATCTTTTCCATAAATGTCCCTGCTGCCCTAGCTTTTTTCCGTACCGTTTAATTGTTCTGTATTCTCGATGCTCTTTATCTCACGAGGAGTTTATAAATATGAAGAGTGCATTTCAGTAGTGGGGTTATGTTGAACTTATTTTGCACCGTACGTAGCCAACTGTGCTAATCCAAGGTGCGGGGGGGAGGGGGGTAACTTCTGCTTTGGGCCCACAGTGCGTGAGTGAACACCGCCCTTCCCTTAAGATTTTTGCCAGATCTTTAAACTGTTGAAGAGGTGGATAAAGAAAGTTGATTCAAAAAAATATTAGGTTCACCCCTACCAAAGAAACCCTTCTAACCATCCTAGAATGGAAAAACTTACCCAACTCCCAAAGGGAGAGTTAATGGTAGAAAATGTTTACTGTTTTGTTTTGTGGAAATGAAAAACCTGAGTGATAAAATGCACAGAAATTGCCTCTTCATAATACCTGTACTCCTTTCCTATACACTCTTCCACAAAATGAACAAAAACAACGTAAACAAAAACAGCAAATAACAAGCCAAGGTGGCCAGTTCATGCCCCCAGAGGATGGGAGGGTGGGGGCTATTACCACCACCGGCCCATTCATTGTCTGTGCACTGCTGGATGAAGGTCATACAATACAATAGATTTTATTTTACAAATATATTTGGCAACAGTGACATACTACCAGT